AAGTAGAGAAAAATGACTTCATTCGAGTGCTCTGCTCCCTTTCGTCTACACGGATGGGTTCGCCTATACAGAGCGCTCCGCCTAGCCAAACGCTCCCCTGAATCCTCCTCATGAAGCGCGCCACGTTCCTTCTGAAGCTGCTGCTTCTGGCGGCGATAGTCACCCAAGAGGGGCTTCTATCCTGGCAACTGATGACCAGCAAAATGTACGTGCTGCTGATCGATGCGGGGCTCCTCACCATCTTCCTCTACCTACAAGTCCGATCAGCCAACAACACGCACATGTATATGATCTACGTCTACAGCGTCGTGGCTAAGATAACGGCGATTTATTACGTCTCCCTTCCGAGGGCCCTCATTATCCAGCATGAGGAGCCAGATGGAGGGGGGCCATCCCTACCATCACCCCTGTCAGGGGCCTTACCATCAGTCGCGTCATTTATCCTACCATCACCCTTGTTAGGGGCCTTACCATCAACCGCGTCACCGAACGTACGGTTCCCTATACAAGTGGACACCTACGTAGACAGCATCCACATCGTCAGCTCCACGATCGTCATCTCTATACTCGTCTATATTCTGTTCTTTTTCGTCACCGATTTTGATCTGCTCAAAGTTCGTTTTATCAATGTGGAGATCTTCTTTTGTCTCCTGATAATAACCCACGTGGCGATTGATTTTCTCGATATATCTGATTTTTTCTATTCCGTTAATCTGCATTTTCTCCTTTACCACTTTCGAGTGGTGCAGGAGCTATCTGTCTTTACTAACCCAGATCTGTTTGTCCATGCTTCCATGGATCGGAAGAGTCTCATCGAATTTTATTCCTTCTGTCTGCATGCCTACCAAACCGTCTTCATCCTATTTGGTGTGCTGCTCTGCGTGAACATTGCCATCCATGCTTACTCACTTCCGAGTTTTTCCTACGAAAGTAACAAGAGGAGGAAGCTCTCCGCTAAAGGGGGGGGACAAGTAGGAGACCATCCCTCCAGTGGACCCCTTTTGCTACACAGTTACAGCGGTGATGGGGCCTTCTCCAGGTGGAGCTGCAACCAGAATGCTGCCAACAGGGGAGGAAAGGACCTTTATGGGAACCCTCCTAGTGGGGCTCTTACCAGGAGGGGTAGCTCTCTGGGGGGGCCTGCACAATTGGAAGGGAAGCATTCGATTAGTAGGGGCATAACTCGGGGCATAGCAGCGGTCACTTCCTCCTTCTCCCCTTCTTCCGCCGCTTTAGCTTCTACTTCCATTGAGGCCTCCCTCCTCCAGTCCAAGGTCGGCGGGGACGCCATGTCCTGCCTCAAGTACATCAGCATATACAGCTTCTTCTTCACTGATGTGTGTCTCTTCACAGCAAGGCTGTTCCTTTACCTGGTTTTCTCGGCCACCTCGTGTAATGAGCATCGCCAGGCGAGGAGGCCCGACATCACCCCGCTGGTGGCTTCCTCTATCACCTACTTCTGACACCCCGCTGATAGCCTCTCCCCCGCTTCTCCTCCCCCTCTGTGCAGGTTCCCCGCAGTTTATGATGAAAAATCTCTGCTTTGCCATCATCCACGGATCGCGCATCTACCGCAAGTCCAAGTTCTACAACCGAAGGAGGGGCGAGAAGGGCCGCAAGGCAAGCTCAGTCAAGGGGGGCAGCTCCCCCCACGAGGGTGAAATGTTCACCAGTGAGTGTGAAATGTCCAGCGATACGTGTGAATTCTCCACCGATACGTCTGAAGAAACCCGTTCAGAAGAATCCTCAAAGCACCACCCAGACGAACAACCGAAACAGAGGCGACACATACGATCAGGCAGCCTTCACTTGAAGGGAAGCAGGCTCCACTTCAAGGGAAGCAGCCTCCACTTCAAAGGAAGCAATCACGTGAACACGGAGCTCCTCAGCAGGAGCTACCCCTCCATCGACACGATAAATATAGACGTGATTCAAAATGCCGAGTACAGGCGTATTGACAGTCTAAGTTACGAGAAAATCCTCCCACGGTTCTACTTTCACTATTTAAAATACAACGGGGTGAATTTTAAAAGATACATGTCATGTTATGTAGACCAAATAGAGAAGAACTCCATGGGCTACTCGCTCATCTTCCTCTTCTTCTTCATTCTAATAGCGACAAAAATTGCAATCCTCGTGGTTACCTACACAATGGATTTCGACCAAGACCTAAATCGGCATTTGTATGAATTGACTTACCTATGGAATATCAACGCGTTGAAAGACTCCTGGATTCTCAGAATCAATTCTTTCATCATTTTAGCTTATTCATTTTGTTCCTTCCTTCTCTATGTAGTTACCTGTTCCCTATTCGATGGGATCTTCATGTCCTTAATGTATGTCTTTAACCTTCTTTCATTCTTTTTCGTCCTCCTCATCATGTCCAAATATAACCCATCGTATGACATGCTGGACTATTTTAATAAGAATAAGAACACGCTGGTGGTTCTCTTCCTCTTTGGCTATCTGGTAAGACGGTTAACAGGGGGAAGCGGCAGAGGTGGCGCGATTAAACGAGGGAAATTGGCAAAGACACCTCCTCAGAAGATCCCCCATGCCGCCGCTATTCACCGCTATACACCGCTACCCTGCGCAGGCCTACCTCTTCCTCGCGGACACGTATATGTTCATCTACATGCTCCTCGGGCGAAAGTACATGACGTATCGAAGACGAGTAAAAACGCGCAGCAGAGATGAAGCGAAAGGAACTGCGGGACAGAACGCAGAAACGGACCAAGAGCTGCTAACACCCATATCAGTTGTTTCCACCTTTCTCCTCAAACTTATCAAACACATGAAGGGACCTATCATGCTTAACAGAATCATAATCAGCAAAAATCTAATTAAAAATACACGAGTAGACAATTTTTTGTTTTTTTGTCACGTAAAAGAGATTGCCATTAAGTTGGTGCTATATTTCTTTTCGTGCTTCCTCTTACTCAGGGAGGAAGCGATAAATTTTTGCTTCGTCTTGTCGATCTTTTCTGTGAATGTTATCTTCTCCGTTATGTATTTGATTTTTTCCAAAGTGGACCGCGATGTGGCCATGGAGAGCATCTTCACGCAGGCGCTCTTTCTGCACCTTAGCGGGGCTTCGGGTAAGGCGTGGAGTGCGGAGCAGTGGACTCCAGCGAAGCGTTGAGAAGTGAAGGCCAGCGAAGCGCAGAGCGGCAAAGGAACTGGGGCATTGCGAGCCGCGGTCTACGCCGCTACGCCGCTACGTCGCTACTGTGCCACTTCGCCCTTCCTTGCATTACGCACCGGCTGCAGTTCCCTAGGCCTCTTCTTAACAACACATACCATCCTCCTCCATTCTCTATCAGAAGGCAGACGAGAGGTAAAACGGGCCGACACTTCCAAAAATCAGCAAGAAAAAGGCGCCTTCCACGAGCCCACCGTACACCCCAGCGTGTACGAAAAATATTCCTACGATTATACAGTCCTGTTTGAGAATTGCCTGAATTACTTTTGACTCGCCTCGCGGAGAGGGCACCTCCGTGGGTAAACGTATGTACGTTCATATGGTCGTGCCAGTATGCATAGGACTGTGTGAGTATCCATATGACCGAATCCGTGTAGGTATCATGCTGACGCGCTCACTTCTTCTGCGTCTGCCCAGACTGACAGTGAGGAGGCCTTCAAGAAGGGCTAAGCTGATAAGCTCCATAACTTCTTCCCTGTGCGCGTGCCAACTGGGTCCCCCGCAAACACAACTATAACACAGCTATACGCACAACTAAACAGACACCCTCCACACACACACACACACATCGCCAAAACGGTTCACTCGTTTATGTCGATGTCCTTGAAGTTCCCAAAGATGTCCTTAAATTTGATCCCAATTGGAGAGTTAATTATCTCCATTTCCTTCTCCTTGATTAGCAGCTTCTGCCGTTTGATTTCTTCCTCCAGCTCCAGGATCCTCTTTGTGTCAATCTGGGTAGGCATCAGGTCCTCCTCCCCGGTGTAGTCCAACTGGATGGTATCTTTTCTGTCTACACTGCTAAATGTTTTTTTCTCTTCCTTCACCTCGGGTGTACCTTTTTCAAAAAGGGGACTAGGAAATATGTAACTCTCTAGGATTTCATCTTTCCGTTCGTTTTGCACTTCTTCCTGTTGATGATTGCTCCAAGGGACTTCCCGCTTTTCCCCCTCACCACCAGGTCTCTTTATTTCCTGCATGTGCCTGGTGAGAAGGTCATCGAAATTGTCGGAAGTTTCCCTCCCATAGTGTCCTGTGTCACCCTTGTTTTCGTTTTTTGTGTCACCCCCCTTTGTGTCTCCTCTTTCGCCCTCCTTATTCTTTACCCCATTTTCTTCTCCCCCCCGCGGTGATGAGCCATGCCCGGTCTGGGATGTTCCCCCCTCCACACACGTCACTGAGTCGGGGGGGGCAGGTGCCTCAACTGGGTCGCTCCCGTCTATCACCCCCTTCACGACGCCCTTCTGCGCATCGATCACTTCTTTGGTCGCATCACCATCGGTGGTATCCCCATTGGCGGTATCACCATCCGTGGTAACATCACTGGCCGTGTTTTCCGTCGTCGTGTCCTCCGTGGCCGTGTCATCTGCGTCAGCAGAGGGCCCTTCCCCCCTAGAGCCATGACCAAACCGACCACCAAACAAAACACGCTTATTCTTACAGTACCACTTATAAATCGTTTTCAGATATTTTAGCCTATACGACGAGATGGTGCAGATGTGAATGTCACTCATCTGATCACTGAGCATTTTGTAAAAACAGAACCTCTTCCAAATGGCATTCTTACTCTTCTTGTTGATGTCGTCAGATCGATACAAGTTTAGTATCTCCTCCGATGAGGGACAATTCTTTTTTAAGTCGTTTTTTATTTCCATATAGATTTCCTGCACTTCTATATATAGCGATTTAATATTATTTTTCATTTCATCAGTTAAGTCTTCTTTGCTTAGGAGCTGTTTCAATTCCTCCATCATCATTTGTTGGTGGCTATCGATTGCTTTTATGCTAAAGAGTCTTTCCATGTTTCCTCCTTTTCCCCTTTTCTCTTCACCCTCTGTTGGTTCTTCCGTGTTGGACTCACTTAAAATGTCCTGCTTCTTCACATCCTCATCAGGAAAAGCGCTCGCTATTTTTTTCCCACTATAATTAAGGATTAGCTGACTGGGGTTCTCGTTCACTAGGATGTCCTTCAAGCTTCGCCTGACTTGGATTGGCTTTATTTTTTGCCTCCCCTTAGGTAAGCCGCGTTGGCCACTGGTGGAAGGCTTGCCTCTCTCCCCATGTTTCCCGCTCTCCCCAGGCTTGCTACTCTCCTGCAGTTTTCCGCCCTCCCCAGGGTTGTTACTCTGCCCAGGTTTGCCGCTCTCCCCGGCTTCCTTCCCCTGCGCGGGTTTATTCATACTGTCTGGCACTTATCGGGAAGGCTCTGGCGGATTGAAGCGGAAGCTTCGTCTTCCCCTTCTATACCTCCTACGAAGTGAGTATACCATTACGTGCACGCGAGGAACTACGTGTGTACGTACACGCAGGAACATTTGCATGCACATTTGTGTGCACCTTTTGAAGGTACTTACATCTGGTCACTTTGACGCACGCTACGGGGTGGCCTCACTACAAATATCTTGTAGGAGGCTCAACGTAGCTTCGTCATTCTGTGGAGATTCCATTTTTCTTTTCTTCTTTTAATCTCCAAATCGAGATCTTTAATCTTTGGCCATGGTGTTTTTTCCACGTCTGCACATTTTTTTCGCGTTTTTTTTTTTTTTTTTTTGTTTTTTTTTTCCGCCCAAGGGAGAATTAGCAAAATTCATGCGTGATTTGTGCACGAGTGAACATTTCCCTTACGGGAAGGCAGAAACGGATGAGTCACTGGGGAGAGGCACACACAAATGTTGTTCTTATGGGTAGACACACATGTTGACCTATATGTATTCATGCGGCACACACATAGTGACATGTGCATGGCGAGTGGGTGAAAATTTCCCCTCTCGGCTAGGGTCTGGGCGAAGAAGTTTCTACGGGGGGTGTTCTCATTTTTCAACCTTCTTTTATACCCCTTCCCCACCCCAGATGGGAAGCCATAAAGGTAAACAAAGTGCTGCTCTCAGATCGGCATTTTGCGCGTGGACGGTGATAAGTCCCTTTTTTTTTTCTTTTCGTTTTCCTTTTCGCTGCACAGCGTGCCAACTTCTTAACCCTTCCCGCAGCACATACGGCACAATCCCATTTGACGCAATTACAACACTGAGTTGGGTTATACCCCTCAATTTTTTTTACAGAATAATCACACAGGTGTATTCAATGAGCATACGCAAAGTGCTCGTTTTTTTTTTCGCATGCGCGTAGGGGAAATAAACACATTGGCGTTTTAAGCGTATGCACGCTGGCATAGCATTTACCACTCGCGCCTACCCACATGGCGTATCATTTCGTTTCTTCCCGCAACGGGTACGCTCTGTCGTTCTGCCGTTCTGTCGGTCTGCCGCACCTCCGATCTGAACGTTCATATATTTTTTTTTTTTAACAAGGAACATTTTTAGCTAGCTACAAATTTGTTCCAAAACAGTTGGTTGTTCTGAAAGATATAAGCAGGGATGTATTCAGACTGGCCGCCGATATTGTCTCCTTGTGTGCTTCATTTTTTGTTTGATCACCATAGCGGTTGCCGCGCAGAGTGGGGAGCATCCTTTGTGTGTACCTTCTGTGTGATTTTTTTTTTTGTGCCCCACTTTTTGGTCATTTTTACCTTGCCGGTCAGAATTTTTTCGCCACTTGGCAGCTTCGGAACTTGTCATCCTGGTAACTTCGTCTCTTCGTAACTTCTCACTGCTTCGTGACTTCTGCACCTCTTCACCGCTGCGCCCTCCCCCCCAAGATGATCACCAAAATCCTGAACGGGTGGCGCATCTCCTTCTTCTTCAACCTGACGACCTTCATCGTCCAGCAGCTGGGGCTGTACTACATCCTCTTCGAGTACAACAAGCTGATCCTCCTCCTCTGCACCTTCGACATATACATTTTCATCCACTTCTGCTTCAACAACTCCCAATCGTTTGCGGCCGTCAAGGGAGGCACTTGCTGGATTCTTTACGTGTACTCCATCTCGTTCAAAGTCATTTTTATATACTTCTTCGCCTTCAACGAAAATGCCTATTCAGAAGAGACAAACACGGATTACTATAACAAATGCATTATCTTTGCCCTCCTCAGTTTGAGCACGCTAATATACACGGCTCTGTCTGTGAAGTCGTACAGACAGCTGTACCCAGACGAAATGACCATAACGAATGAACAGATTTTCCACAACAATTTAATCCTCCACGTCGTGATAGACCTGTTTGACATATTCGAGTTGCTTTTCACTCTGGTGAAGCTCTCGTACGTTGTTAAGAACACCAATTTTTGGATTAAAATAATTGGAGGAGTCTTAATTTCGTTTTCTCTGTACCTGAATGCTTATTCCTTTCCGATTATCTCCCTCGTGAAAGAAAAGAACAGAAAGAATTTGGATCTCGGCGATATTTACTTCTGCAAGAAGCATGCTGCTGTGATTGGTATAATCCTTGTGGACATTCCGTTCATGATTTTACGCTTTTACTTCCTGGCGTCCTACGTTTCGAACGTACATTTCCAACCCCTTCTAGTTAAGAACGTGTGTTTCATCCCGATCAAGTGCCTTACTATAAGGCACTGCAATTTGATTTTCGAGAGGCTACGTCGAAATATAGACCACACGGATAATGGCGGTCGAGAGGGAGACACCCTCGCCATCACGAAACAGAGCAACAGTAATAATAACGCGAGCAAGTCGGATGATGGCACTCTCATCATTCCGTATGGCTCTCCTGGTGGGAATAAGACCAGCGTGGTCAATTGCCCCTCGGGGAGGCTTCTCAACAAAGGATCCATCATGTCGCTGAGCGCCATGGGGTGCAACAACAACTCGTTGGATATTAAGTCGGTGCAGTCGATGAGGAATGAGGCGGACATAATACCCCCTGGGGAAGCCTCCTGTTCCAGGAAGAAGAAAGTCGCAACCGTCGCTGATGCCAAGCAGGACGGTGAACCGATGAGCGGGAGCGCCCATACCCCAATCTCCCCCAATCTCTGCGAATACTTCGAACACCTAGTGGAGAATCAAGTAGCCACCTTCCGAAAGCTAAACGTGAAGAAGAACAGAATAGGGAAGAAGTTTACCATGAACAAGCTAATGTATACGAATGTATCGAATAACGAGAGGTACCATTGCTACTTGGACGACAGCCTGAAGGTCTCCTACCTCAACCAGATCCGCCTGATCATCCCTTATGTAACGTACTGCCTGGGAAAAATAGCAATGTCCATAGTGATATACTTTTTCTACACAAAGATAAACATCCACGATCTGAAAATAATCCTGACACAGTCAGACATGTATTTTAAACTCTTCGAACACAACCACATCATGTTTAGCGTGGCCTCATTAATAATTCTGGGCAACTCCGTCATATCATTTCTCTGTTCTGTCTTCCTCTCCAGCATAGTGGAGGTCCTATTCTTTACTCTTTTCATCTTCGTAAAGTGCACCTCAGATTTTCTCTTCCTCCTGCTGCTGGTCTATAACAACATTTTTGAGATTTTTTTGAAGAACCTGAACAAGTCAGAGGAATACGCGCCATACTTTTATCTCCTCTTCGCAGTGATTCCTTCGTTTAAGATCATTAGCAACATTTACGTCTTTTTGTGTTCCTTGTCCGGCCGGCAATTCATCGGCTACATCATTCGCCCGTTTATGAACGAGACCAGCAAGAGTAAGCTCCCCCCTTTTTTGAGCATAAACGGCAGTGCCGCAGCGATCACCGGGATTGGCGCAGAAGCAATCACCCGGTTGAGTAGTACCTTAGGTGGAGAAGGAACCAACACAGTGGGGTCTTCTCCCCCCATTCGATCTCTCCAGACGGACGAACTTAACCTGTTCAATAACGAAAAGTCCAGTGATAAGAACAACTTCAAGGGAGACTACAAAGGATTCATATCGATTGCGTCTCTCCTAATCTACATCAACACAAAGCACATGCACGGATTGTCCTCCCTCTCGATACTAATGATAGGAAATAATTTCATCAAAAATCTCAGGCTCAATTATAACTTAAAAAACAGCCATCTCCTGCTCATCGTTTTAACTCTCTTGACTCGCTTCCTTTTGCTACTCTTTATCTTCATGCACCATAAGTCGAAGATTCTCATAGATGAATGTGTCCGTATGTTTTACTTCGGAGTCTCTTCTATCTTCATTCTGGATTTAATTTTTAAAGCTGGGTACCTTATTGGCTCTCACAACATACGGGTGTGCGCTGCGTACAATTTGCACCTCAAGTCAATGTACGAGGACGTTTACTACAGCGCCAGGGTCAGGAGCCACGTGCAGAAGAACCACCTCAGGGACCTGCACAGCAAGTACCAGATGAACCACTTCTACGTGCGCACTATGCCGCTCTTTTCGGAGCTCGTCTAGCGGTCAAGCGGCACGGAGAGGAGAAATGGCGCGGAGAGAAGCATTACCATGGGAGTACGCAGCTTACCTGGAATGGACGCCCACCAAACCCTAACAGGCATTCTCAGTGCCCCACTTTTTTCTGTAGAACCTCCACCCTTGCACCTCGTGTCACCATCTCATCCGTTTGGCATTTTTAAAAAGACGTTTTTAAAATGGGAAGCAGTTGGTAGGCGCGTTGGCGAGGTGAAGCCACCTGATCGGGTTGTCCCAATGGAGCTACCTCGCTAACCAGACCAGGCTGCTTCACCGCGCAAACAAAGGACAAACGGGGGGCTGTCCTGCACACGGGCAGAGGCGACTCATCAATTCAAAATGTGCATAATTTAAAAAAAAAAGTGAAAAAAAGGTGAAAAAAATGTGAAAAAAATGAGGAAACAAATGAGGAAACAAATGAGGAAACAAATGAGGAAACAAATGAGGAAACAAATGAGGGGAAAAAATGAGGGAAAAAAGAAAGATCCACTTGTACGGACCCTTTGGAATGTCCAGACCGGAGGGGCGCTCTCCTCCCACCTCCGTCACACCATCTGGTGAATGAGCTCCACCTTTTCGGAGACTTCCCTCTTGAGAGCTTGGTACCGCTCGTCGGAGAAGTCCCCCCCATCTATGTCTGCATCGGTCGTTTCTCCCTCGTCACCCTGTGCGGCTTCACCATCCGATAGGGGCTCCTCATGCGACAGGACTTCTTCATCCGGTGCGAACCCTTCATCCGGCTCCTCCGCAGTTTCCGCGTTCGGGTCAGCAAACAGATTCCACGCCGAGATGGCCACATTGATCTTGTTTAGCGCGTCATTTATCAGCAGGGGATCTTCCTTGGCTTTGAGTTTGTCTACAATTTCGTCCAGTTTCACGTTTATTCCTTTGAGGAATACATAGCAGTTTTTTTCGTATGTTGAGACGTGACTGAGGGGTAGCTTGTGTGAGTCTGCGTCGAAGAGTGTGTCCCCTTCCTCGGTCTCTTCACGTGTGTCGTCATCGTCGTGATGGTTTCCATCGTCCTTATCATCCCCATTCTCCAAACCAGTTCTGCCTTTTCCTTCTTTCCTCCTCGACGAGGTTTTGTTCTTCTTATCAGAAGTCTTCTTCCTCTCCTCGGTCTCTTCCATCTCCTCCTTCGTGTTACTTCCCTCGTTGATTTGGCCCCCCTCATCGTAATTCTGCTCCTTTTCATGGTGCCCCTTCCTGGAGGTGTCTTTCTTATGCTTTTTTTTCTTTTTTTTTTCTACCACTGGCAAGGTTTCTTCCTTCATCGCGAGGGAGGTATCCGGCCTCTCCTCCTTCAGTCTCTCATTTTCCGCCACCAGATTGGCAACTTGTATGTCTGCCTCCGCTTTTCTATTGGCCAGATCGCGGTTCTTCTGAGACAACTCGGCCAACTCTCGTCTCGAGTCTAGAAGCTCTTTCTCCAGTTGGGAGATCTTCGTTTCGCTTCCCCGAAGGCTTTCTTGTAGCTGCGCAATGGAGGCAGTGGCTCTGTTGGAGACCTCCTCATCTCCTCCCTTCACGCAGTTGTCCATCTTTTCCAGCTTTTCCACCTTTCCCTTCTCCTCTGCGCTGCCGCTGGTACTGGTGCCGGCCCGCCTGGCCGTCCGTGCCTCCCTGAGTTTCTGCTCGCATTCGTTCACCAAGGTTTCCATTTCCCTATTTTGAGCTTGCAGCTTCTGGTCGTATTCTCGAATGGCTAACCGAAATTCTTCGTCCTTCTCCTTCAGGAGGGAAGTGCATTCATCGATTTTACTCTGCAGGTTCTTTTCCTTCTCCATTTCGAGCAGCTGTGCTTTCCGGCTCTGTTCACAAATATCTTTCATTTGGTTAATTTCCTTCTGAGTTTCTTCCTTCATTTGTATTACCACTCGTTTGTGTCTTTCCGTCATGGATTCTACATCTCTTTGGCATCGCTCTTTCTCCGCTTTGGTCTCTTTGAACAACTGCTCCATTTCTTTCTCCTTCTGGATCATCATCTGTTTTATTTGTTCCTGCTGGGCTTCCTTCTCTGTCTTCATTAGTGCCTCAAACTGGCGCTTCATGTTTTGTTTTTCTTCTTCAAATTGTTTCTTCAGTGTTTCTTCATTATTCTTGTACTCCTCCATTTTTTTCCGTTCAGAAGTCTCTTGTTTCTTTCGAAGCGTCTTCATTTCTTCATCCTGCTTGTCTATCCTCTTCTGCCATTCATCCACCTGGTTGGAGAGACCTTCGTTTTGTTTTTTACTCTCCTCATTGATTGCGATTTGTTCTTTTAGTCGTTGTTGAGACTGTTGCAGCTCATTGTTCAGTTGGTCGACTTTTCCCCGATACGTTTCCTTTTCTGCCGTTAGCTCTGCCACCTGATTTTGCAGTAGCTTCAATTCGTGTTGGATGCTAAACTGGCAATCATTCCTTTCGCGTCTGAGAAGTTCGACTCGCTGATCTGTCATCTGGAGGCATTTTTCCTTCTCCTTCAGGTCATTCTGTAACCCTGTGATTATTTTTTTTTTTTCCTTCTTCAATTTGTCCAGATCTCTGTAGGCCATTTTGCATCTCAGCTCTGAGTTAATCAGTTCTTTCTTTACTTTACCAATCATATCATTTAGCTTCACATTTTCTACTTTCATTTGTTTCAATTGGAGGAGGTTACTCTCTATTTCTTTGTTCCTTTGGATCAGTTTCAGTTGCTTCTCTTTTCCTTCCTTTAGCAGATCGCTCTCTATATTGCTCATCTTATCTATTTTTTCCTCTTTACTTGCTATTAATAGATTTTTTTTTTTTATTTCTTCACTTAGGTTATCCTTCTCCTGTTCGTACCGTTTAATTGCTTCTTCCAGTTTGTGTAGACATTCATCATTTCTCTGTATCGTTTTTTCCTTCTCCTTTAATTCTTCCTGTAGTTTCTTCACCTTCATTTGCACCTCTTCTAGGTATCCATTCTTTCGACACAGTTCCTCTCTGTAACTTCTATTACGCTTGCTATGATGTTTCGCTATTTTGATGAGTCTCATATTTGCGCTTCTCATTTTTTCTTTTATCTTCCCTATTCTGCTATTCATTGTATATATTCTCATTTTCATTGCTTCGTTTTTTTTCCTACCTGTCTGCAATTCTTTAACTAATTCTCCATTTTGAGACTGCAGGATGTGCATCTGGTGTGTGAGCTTCTCCTTCTCTCTTTCTACCACTTTCATATTTTTATTGACTGTGTTGAGGTGACCTAAAGACTTTTGTAACTGTACCTTTATATCATCCAGGTTTGTAATGAGTTGTTTGTTCCTCTTCTTGATGTGTCTAATTTGATTGCTACTCAGTTCATTTGCTTGTTCCAAGTTTGACTTATTCTCCTGTACATATCTTCTTAACTGATTCATTTGAAACAAGATTTTGTTTTCTCTCCTCTTCAGTCTTCTTATCCGCATCAGATTGTATTCATTTCTATTTTTATACTCGTTCGTCTGCTTAACTTCCTCCCGTAATGTCTGTCTTAATTGCATAATGGTCCTTTCGTCCTTCTCCTTCGCGGTAGTAACTTCTTCCTCATTCCGTTGTTGCCTCGTTTGCAGCTGATCCATTTGTTGCTTAACTTCCTCGTAGCTCCACCGCTTCCTTTCGAGCTCCCTCTTCGCGGCGTGCGCCTCGGCTCGTGCTCGCTCCAGTTCGTCTCTTTGACCCTGCGGGGAGGGGAAGCAACGGGAAAGACGCGGTTAAAGGGGGCCAATTCAGAAGGATGAGCTTAAAAGGATAGAGTTAAAGGGGTGCAGCTAAAGGGATGCAGTTAAGAGGATGCAGTTAAGAGGATGCAGTTAAGAGGATGCATTTAAACGGGCGCGGTTAAAAGGATCCCGTTAAGAAGACGCTGTTGCGAAGCCGCGACGGTGGCAACCCTCTTAACACTTGGCGCATGCGCGCACCGCCGGCGGACTGACCTCAAATTCCCGCTTCACCCCGACCAAGACCCGGATGGAGGCCCAAATGGCGTCCAGCTGCAGCTCCGTCTGCGCAAAGGTTGTGCTTCGGCGCAGGGGGAGGTTCAGCGCATTATCCAGGGGGAGACCTTCTGCGTCGTCCACCGTCACCCCCAATGTGTAGCCCAACGTATGGCCCAACGGATCGCCCAACGTATCGCCCAACGTATCGCCTAACGGATCGCCCAACGGATTGACTAACGGATTGACTAACGGATCGACCAACGGATCGACCAACGTGTCGCTCATCGCGCCGCCATACTTCCCATGAGCGAATCCTCCCCCCGTGTCGCTTTCCCGCAGAAACGCAACGACACCCATTATCTTCCGCGAGCAGCTGGCGAAGGCTCGCTCCTTATGTCTGGAGTCGCTTAAACACGTCTGCACACGTTGAAGCCTTATCTTCAACTCATTATTCGCTTGCACCAATTTGACCTTCTCCTCCTGCAACAGTTTATTCCTCTCCTCCACTTGGCTTTTTACACCTCGACACTTTTGCAGCTGCACTCTAAGCTCATCCAGTTCGTCCAAATGTTTTTCTCCCTCCTTTTTTACTCTCTGCAAGTTTGCTTCGTAGATTTTTATCTTTCTGTATAAGCTTTCATTCCTTTCAATTTGCTCTTTTAACTTGTCCTTACAGGTCTTCAGCTCTAACTCCGATTTGACTTTCTCGATTTCACTTACCTCGATGCTTCTTTCGTGTTTTACTAGCATTTGCTTTAATTCCTCCACTTTTTTTTTCTCTTCATTTAGGGCATCCTCATTTGGGGGGTCTACTCTTGGCCGTTCCTTTTCTGCGTGTGTCTGTGAGAGGGGGTGGAGTTCATGTCATATTACCGGTTTCCCTCCTTGCCGACTTGCCAGAGGTGGTCTAGGTTGAGAGGTGTCGGGCTCCGATTTGATGGCCAGACTGTGCACAATAGAGTCACGCAGAAGCGCATCACATGACACCGAATCACCTCCCACCGTGTCACATGACACCGCATGACGTAGCACCCCCACCTGATCCGCCGAAGCTCCTGGGTTGCCTCCCCCAGGAAGGAACTGCAACTCGATCTCCCTCATCCTATTTTGCACGCTCCTTTCCAGTTGGTCCTTTTTGGCATAGAGGCTGTTTAGCTTCATGTGTATGCTTCGGACCTTCAGAGACAGGCACCAGTTTAGGTTCTTCTGCTTAAGGAGTTCCCTCCTTAGCTGCGCGCACTGCCACGGGGATGGGAAGGGGAACAACAGAATTGCATCGTCCAGAAATGGAGCACACAGAGGGAGAAAAGGGACACAGAATGGGAGAGAATAATATAAAGGGTCAGAAGGAAAGCTTTACTTGGGCTCTCCCCCATTTTTTTTTTTTTTTTTTTTTTTTTTTTTTTCTGCCTACTGTTCTGTCATTGTAAGCACTGCTGATCCGTTCCGTGGTTCCGAGATGGATGTCTAGGTCCTAAAAGGAGAAAGACGTGCATGTAGAAGTAGCTTCCTGTTAGGGTTCACCTAGACAGTCTTCCTTCGATGATTCGCCAGAAGCCATTTTGCAATATTTCCCTACCTCATTATTCCGCTCTGAGTATAACTCCAGCTGGGCTAGAGATTCCTTTAGAGCCTCCAGGTCGGAAAGGGGATTCCCATCGTTCAGTAAGTTGTCTATACTTCCCTTTAGGTTTTCAATTTTGTCTTAAAGAAAAAGGAAGGGAGAGTTAGGCAGATCATAGATTATGGGACGACATGGTGGGAAGGCACATGGGAAAGGGAAAATACGAGAAGGCACAGATGCGTTTGCCCGAGGAATTTTCCCCCTTGCCTTCTCCACAGAAAGTGAGGCTAATCGAATAGCCATTTGAACAACGGGCGAAGGAATGAATGACTGTTTTTACTTCTATTGGTGAGTGGGTCCTTCTTCCTCCCTTGGGTGGTCTGAAAAAAAAGGGGGGAACTCTTTTCTTTGTTTACATGATCTTTAAAATGGTTGCTACGTCGATGCTATGCCGCTTCTAGCCTCTTCCGCGCCGCCGCTGTAATTACCAAGCAAGGGTCCTCATCTCCCAATGGCTCGTCCATTTTAGAGGAACTCTTATGCACACGGGGGCGTCACATATAGGGGAAAAACACAAGCGCAGATGTGCATAAAGCACACATTTCCGCATTAGTGTGCAAACTCCTTCACAAACTCATGAAGTATCCCCCGATGAGGTACACCTGGGAGGAGTCTTCTCCTCGTAGTTGAGGAAAAAGTCAATGGGGCATACACAGGTAGGTATACATGGGTTTTTTTTTTTTTTTATTTTGTGGCACCGTATATGCGTCCTCTCTTTCCAAGGTGCCCTTTGCCACCCGATATAAGGCTGCTTCCATTTTAGGGATCGTATAATCTCTACGGGAAAGTCACCTTGATGGTGTAGCACCCAGGGATTTAATTAAAAATGTGTTTGAAACACAGGGCAATGTAGAGAAGTACACATGTTGGCCTCTGGAGAACGGTCAGTTGCTATTGGTAAGAAAAGGCTTCCTCGGGCATTTTCTATCTCGCACTTGG